CCCCCCCCCCCCCCCCAAAATCAAAACACTTGCTCTCCTTCTGTAGCAACAGTGAGCAACCCATTATCATGAGTTCACTACAACAATCATGGTAGCTGAGGAATCTCTTGCTATCAATAATTCAATATCATCAATCCTTATGAACAATGAACAAACAAACAAATCCACACTAAAACCYTGCCAAGAGATCAATTATATGTGTTGATATATTCAAAACTTTTCAAACAAGAGAATCTAGGTTCCATCCACAGCAGTCGATTATGTTTTTGCAGAACTATAAATTTAAAAAAAATGACAAAAAACATCATAATTTAGATGGAAGTCTAAACAKGCAACATGCCAACATGTATGTTTCTTAAAGAGTCTTGATTGTTTATTGAATTTAGATGACATAGTATCTACGACTTTCTTGACAGTATTTTTTGTCTTTCTTGCGGTCTGAATTATTCAATGCCCTTGGCAAGACAAGATGTACTTATGACAAGAAGGATTTGCAATATACTAGATGTGGTAGAACAGATTTGATRAAGTTATACAATGAATGTTGTAACTTAACTTTCGTAGGTKGCCCGTGACCTTACTGTAATATCTTGTGTGTTTGTTGCAGCAAAAAGAATACTACCATCGGCAATCGGAGAGCATCCAAGCAACTTAAATGTTGGGGTATGGAAGTATGTTATTTGTTTATTACGGCTACCAATCGACATCGATAAATTTGGTTTTTTTTTTTCACTTGTTTTGTTTCAAATGACAACTCTTGGCCATAACAACRGGAGGTTTCCATTTTTGTTATGTGAAATAGTGTACGAGTATGGAAATGATAAATTTTGCTACATTAACTTTTGGTTGTATTTTTGCAAAAGCAAATATTTTGGTTAATCCWTCAGATAATGTTGAAATGTGTGTATACATGTAAAGATGATRAGATCATGACTCAAATGTTTATGGTAGAATTGATTTGTAATAGAGATTATCTTGGCAATTTATCAAGATCAAGGGTTATGATTTTCAAGTTAACAATGATATAGAATATTTAGTTTCTGGTCTATCAAGGAACTAAGCTAAAGATGCAAAAGAAAAAACCTGTTGCAGAGATGAAGGCTTCAATATCATCATATTGTCTCTTGATCAGCTCTTTCACCTATTTCATTTTTATTCTACCTGTCACTTGCTCACTTAGGTGATAGTTCCAAAAAAAAATCTTCCAAAACCTGTTTAATAAAATGTTATTTGCAAGTGAAACAATTTTGGTATCGTTGACGTGATTTTTGGRTAGTAATATGTATTGCTTACACAGATTAATATGCTATGTGCAAATCAGATCTCATTTCCATTCGACAAACCATTTGAAACTGTCTTTTTAATTTTAACATTTTCTTTTGTTTTCTTGCCTAAACTTAAAAATATATGCAAGCCATTTTCCAAAAGAACCTCATGTACTTGGCTGTTGTTGTTGATGCTCAACCATCGCCAACATAAACTTCAATTCATTCTCAAGTGAGTTCTAACATGCAATTAGTATTTCAATCCAAATGTTTGTGTTCTTGATTTAGCCTTAGAACAGTTATATGCAGCAACTGAGTAACATAAGCCTGCAGTCAATAAGGTGGTGCTTCTATTACAAAATTTCCATGTAAGATTAATAGCCTCTAAAACCTAGATCAAAGAGTAAAAAATGGAAGGTGTTGTTTTAGATTTAGGGGCCGTTTACCAAGCGATTACCAAGTCACTTACCTTACCCAGTGAGCATTGCAAGCACGAAGAAGACTCCGACCCAATATATGGAACAAAAAAACATATCCAATATAAAAAACCTAAAACATCACAAAAGTTATTAGAAATTAAGAGACTAAACAAAACACTTAATACTTTAATAGTTTAATGTATGAAAATTGGGATTTAAATGATTAGATTAAGCAAAACTAATTGATTTGTTGATCAACTTTATATTCGTCTAGAAATTATGTCGTTCAAAGTTTCAAATCGAAAAGAGAAAACAATCCCATTTAATTTAACTTTTGCTATGACAAGCAATGTTGTTTATTGATTCACAATTTCAAATATAAATGTTTATTCGTAATTGGTATGTTCGATTACATTTATTCAAATTTTATATCCCGCCGCATTGCTCATTTTACTTTTTCACTTTTTTACTATGAGAAAGCAATGTTGTTCTAAATGACCAAGATACCCTTTTTACTTTTTCACTTTTTTACTCATTCCTCTCCTCACATACACTCACTCCCTCACATACATTTACCTCTCACATTCAACGGATTTTTTTTTTAATTATAATTTTAAATTTATATTTTATATTTCTATAATTAGTTAATTAATTACTTTACGTCTTTTACTTTTAAATGTTTCATTTTAAACTTTTATCAAATTAACATACATAATCGTATATCAAATAAAACATGTTTAAAAAATACATTTTTATTTTAACAAGTTACACTATTATAATTGTCTCATTAATACCTTCGAAATGAGTCCAATATTGAATAGTTTTTTACTTAATTATATTATTATATATTATATATACTGTGAAAAAATATTTTTTTTACGATTTATACTTTTATAGTTATTTATTTATATATATGCTATATACATTTTAGGATTAGGCTGTCCAAATTGCACTGTATAATATGTTCTTGGGTTTTTTTGAAATATGTATATACATGTATTAATTCAACTTTAATCTGAGCTTCTGGACAAGAAAGAGGGTAAGCAGTTGAAATTTCATTCTAAAACCCATCTTTTTGGTCTTTTCATAGCTTATGATCTGTCAAATTTGTAGTTTTCTTTATGGGTTTTGAGTGTTTATCTTAAAACTCAAGTTTTTTGGTTCTKTKCTYTTGGTGTAAATCGAACACATTTGTGGAGTCGTTTAAATATGTTGAATTTTAAATATATTGGATTTTAAACTGTCATACAATTTTTTTCATCGATAGTCTGT